CAATGTTATGCGACTAAAACGTAACCTTTTGCCTCTCGCGATAAGTCATGGCAACGGATTTTGACTATATTTATTCAAAGGAGGCGTATGCGTGTATCTTTACAGAAGCAGCACAGAGAGCCGCTTGAGAAACGTGCGTGGCGCGGCTGGATTCTGGAATAAACACAAGCATTGTGGCAGCAATCAGCTTAAGTGGCCGTATCAGAGCCACACTGCACCGCAGACGAGTGCAGTGTAAATTGTCTAAGCATTAATGGTAGGGTTTTTGCGAAATTTACGCGTTTCCATTAGGCGTATTTTCAATTCGCAATTTCAATTTGCGCAATTTGAAGGGTAATGGAAACGCGCCTACTGAAGACTGAAGTAATGATGTTGAAAATTCAGCTTTGATCACAGGAATCAATTACATTTTAAAATGTATTTATACGAAAACAATTATTTTAAATTGTAATAATATTTCACAGTATTACTGTATGTTTAATTGAATAAATGCAGTCTTGGAGAGCAGAAAAAGAGTCTTAAAAACTTTTTTTTCAGAAATTGAATTCTTTCAAACTTTTCACCATTTTTTTTTTCCGTGTATTGCCATTTCAGTAAAATAGACTGAAGTAAAGTAAATGAAAATTACATAATGAAGTACTGACTGGCTAAAACAACAACGGCAAAAAGAGCACTTTGTAAATGAATCTGAATCAAGGTATTGTTGTGGTTCTGAGTGAGTCTGAGACTGCTTTAAAGATCCGTGATCGAGTCTGACTGGAGGCGATGGATTCAGACATGCGGCACGATGTGTCAGTGCTGCCGTCGGTTCGGCTTTGAAGTTGAAATCAGGGGCTGTTTGAATGGAACCCAGTGTTTCTGCCAAGCGCTGGATGTGACATTCAAAAGCTGCATGAAGATTATGGGCTCCAGTTGTAAGAAGCCACACTGATGGATACAAGCTGTTCATATAGAGAGGCATGCTAAAGCACTTTACGCTTTAAACTCTTGTGAATGTGATTTAGAAAAGTCAAAAAAATCCCCACCCAGTCCTCAGGAGATTCATTTGGTTTCTGAGTAGGTATCTAAACATGCTTTATTGCCCATATGTCTGCGAGTCTGAAAAGAGAAGGGGGAGCCCTCTGCTGGAGCTTAGGAGTAAACTTTGATGGTATTAGCCTTGTGTTTGTCTGTGTGTCATCTTATCTTCAGTCCTTAAACCGTATGCTTGATTTTTATCTTCTTGACCATTTACCTTATCTCTAATAATATTCTGATCTTGCTTTACACCAAATCCAAGGCTTTTTTCTTCTGACACTAATCCTGAACACTAAAGCTTTCTTTGTGGATTTTTAGGATGTGGCCTGAACTATCACAAACGATGCGCCTTTAAGATCCCTAACAACTGTAGCGGTGTAAGGAAAAGACGTCTTTCTAATGTGTCTCTGCCCGGCCCGTCGCTGTCTGTTCCTCGTCCTGCTCCAGCAGAGCATGCTGTCGTGAGCCTGGAAGAGGTAAGGAATGATTTTATTCAACGTTTGCATTATTTATTTACAGGTTTTAAATGATATGACCGTAGATCTTTCATTGTTTGTATAACTACACCTGTGATTATTCTGTTAGCTTACCTGTGTAAACTGATTTCATACATTGGCAGACAATCACCTGGACACAAGCTTTTTAAAAGTATTTACCAAATTTTAACCAAAAGTATTTATTTAAGAATATCAACCAAAATGGTTAAGTTAGATCTGAGATTATATGTGACCCTGGACCACAAAACCAGTCTTAAGTCGCTGGGGAATTTGTGTAGCAATAGCCAACAATACATTGTATGGATCAAAATTATGGATTTTTCTTTTAGGCTAAAAATCATTAGGATATTAAGTAAAGATCATGTTCCATGAAGATATTTTGTAAATTTCCTACTGTAAATATATCTAAACTTAATTTTTGATTATTAATATGCATTGCTAAGAACATAATTTGGACAACTTCAAAGGCGATTTTCTCAATATTTAGATTTTTTTGCACCCTCAGATTCCAGATTTTCAAATAGTTGTTTCTCAGCCAAATATTGTTCTATCCTACCAAACCATTCATCAATGGAAAGCTCATTTATTCAGCTTTCATATCTAAAAAATTGACCCTTATGACTGGTTTTATGGTCCAGGCTCACATATCGTCTAGTATAATTTGAGGTCTAGTATAAAGCAGTGGAGTTGCATACTCTTTGGATGTGACATAAATATCCAAATACTTTTTATGCTTCACTTTTTATAGTTTATATTTAACAAAATGGCTTGAAAGATATGCATTGTTTTAGAGCGGTCACTTCATATCAGTCCAAACCCAAACATGGCAAGTACATGGTGTCCTTTTAGTTGTCTCACAAACAATATCTTTCTTGGACACTTTTGCTTGTATGTTATGCTTATTTTATTTCAAATAAAGGCCTGACATTGTATTTGCTGTCCCTGCCAAACCATGCAGTTGCATTTAAAATGTTGTGAAATATCACAAACTTAGCTCTTTACATCTGAACAGCTTTTTATACCTAATGAAATGCTCTCCACATAAGCTCAGTATAACATAAGAAAGGAAAGAACGTTCTTTTGTTTTTGACCCCTATAAAAAGGTCAGATCAATAATTTGTCGAGGTCAGGGTCAGTGTGAAATCCTCTGTGGTTGAGCAGCTTTTATTTTAACTCTGAGCTGTCATTTCAGAATACAGTAAAGTAATGTGTGCTGTGAAAAACTGAATCATTAAAGATAATTTCCTCTGTGTTACATTCATATAGATGGATATAGATGGCTGCTGTACTGTGTATTCTTGCATGTACAGCTACTATGAAAGCACTAACGTTCAATGGTTTAGGATCAGTAAGATTTTTTTTTTAATTGAAAGAAGTCTCTTATGTTCATCAACTGCATTTATTTGTATAATAATAATAATAATAACAATGTGAAATATAATTACACTTTTCATAATTACACTTTTCTATTTGAATATATTGTAAAATGTCATTTATTCCTGTGAGGAAAAGCTGAATTCTCAGCATCATTACACCAGTCTTCAGTGTCACATTCTAATATATTGATTTGCTGCTAAAGAAATATTTTTTATTATTATCCGTGTTGAAATCAGTTGAGCTGCTTAATGTTTTTGTAAAAACCATGATATTTTTAACAGCATTTATTTGAAATCGAAAATGTTGTAACTGTAAAAATCTTTACAGTCACTTGTTAGTTGTTAGTTAAATGGATCCTAAAAGTATTAATTTAAAACAAAATCTTATTTAACAAAAGCTCATACTATCTCTGTGGTCTGCAGTATGCATGCTGTACACAGCATGTGAATTACAGTTCGTAGTCAGTTTTTTGTTACGTTGTTCTCCGCTGCAGCAGCGCCCCCATCAGGAGCCAGGTAAGCGGATACCGTCATGGAGCGGCCGGCCAATCTGGATGGAGAAGATGGTGCTGGGGCGGGTGAAGGTCCCTCACACCTTTGTCATTCACACCTACACCCGCCCCACCATCTGTCAGTACTGCAAACGTTTGCTCAAAGGGCTTTTCCGCCAGGGCATGCAGTGCAAAGGTGAGTATCGCCATCTTCCTTTACGCTTTCCAATATAGAAAATAATTCTAGACAAATGTAGGAAAAAAAAGTGATCATGAGGTGTTTTCTTCACCAGACTGTAAATTCAATTGCCACAAGCGATGTGCTTCAAAGGTACCGAAAGACTGTCTTGGAGTCTTCAATGGAGGTATGGTCTTGGTTTTCAGCCACATCCAACTAAAATGAAAAACTTACTAATAGAAACATTGTTACGTAGGTTTACTGTATGTTTCTTTCAGAGCCGGCCAGCCCAGGTCCTGACTCTGATACCACGATGGAAGTAGACAGCAGTGATGTGAACAGCGATAGCAGTCGTGGTCTGGACGATTCAGAGGAACCTACCACTCCAGAAGACAAGATCTTCTTTATGGACTCCCCCTTCATGGACCGTGAGAAGGATGAAGAACCTGTGAAGACCATCAGGTATATGCTCTGGATAATTATAAAATGCCTACAAAACAACCACTGGCTCTGCACCCCTTTACCCTAAATTCACTACTTCAGATGTATGTGCCCTCCAGAAGCTTGCGTTCTGCAAGTGAAACCACAAAATTACTTCCACTGACTTTTACCTTAACTGTTCCCTGCTGGTGGAATGGCCTGCCCAACTCGATCCGAGCAGCTGAAATGACTAAAAACACATTTCTTCCATCTAACGCTAGCACTCTCTATTCTATTTCTATTTCATCTACTTGTTTTCTTTTTATTTATTAAAAAATCTTGACTCTCTAACATTTGCACTCTCTATCCTGTTTCTATTGTATCTGCTTTTCTTGTTATTTATTTAAAAAACTTGACCCTCTAACACTTGCACTCTCTATTGCATTTCTATTCTCTCTACTTGTTTACTTTTTATTTATTAAAAAACTTGACTCTCTAACACTTGCACTCTCTATTCTATTTCTATTCAATCTATTTTTCTTTTTATTTATTAAAAAACACAACCCTCTAACACTAGCATTTTCTATACTTTTCTATTCTATCTACTTGTTTTCTTTTTATTTATAAAAAAATGTGATCCTCTAACACTAGCACTCTATTGTATTTCTATTCTGTCTACTTTTCTTTTTATTTATTAAAAAATCTTGACCCTCTAACACTAACTTTCTATTTTATTTATATTCTATCTACTTGTTTTCTATTTATGTATTAAAAACAATCCTCTAACACTTGCACTCTATTATATTTATATTCTATCTACTTGTTTTCTTTTTATTTATTTAAAAAAACTTGACCCTCTAACACTAACAATCTATATTCTATTTCTAGTCTATCTATTTTTAATTTATTAAAAACGTAACCCTCTAACACTAGCAATCTAAATTCTATTTCTATTCTATCTATTTTTTTATTTATTAAAATCTTTACCCTCTAACACTTGCACTCTCTATTGCATTTCTATTCTGTCTACTTGTTTACTTTTTATTTATTAAATAACTTGACCCTCTAAAACTTGAACTATCTATTCTATTTCTATTCTATCTGCTTGTTTTCTTTTTATTTATTTAAAAAAATTGACCTTCTAACACTAGCACTCTCTATTCTATTTCTATTTGATCTATTTTTATTTTTATTTATTAAAAAACTTGACCCTCTAACACTAGCACCCTCTATTCTATTTCTATTTTATCTATTTTTCTTTTTATTTATTAAAAGAACTTGACTCTCTAACACTAACAATCTATATTATATTTCTAGTCTATCTATTTTTAATTTATTAAAAACGTAACCCTCTAACACTAGCAATCTAAATTCTATTTCTATTCTATCTATTTTTTTATTTATTAAAATCTTTACCCTCTAACACTTGCACTCTCTATTGCATTTCTATTCTGTCTACTTGTTTACTTTTTATTTATTAAATAACTTGACCCTCTAAAACTTGAACTATCTATTCTATTTCTATTCTATCTGCTTGTTTTCTTTTTATTTATTAAAGTATTTCTATTCTGTCTGCTTTTCTTTTTATTTATTAAAAAATATTGACCCTCTAACACTAACTCTCTATTTTATTTCTATTCTATCTGCTTGTTTTCTATTTATGTATTAAATACAACCCTCTAACACTTGCACTCTATTCTATTTCTATTCTATCTACTTGTTTTATTTTTATTTATTAAAAAACTTGACCCTCTAACGCTAGCAATCTATATTCTATTTCTATTCTATCTATTTTTTATTTATTAAACAACTTGACACTCTAACCCTAGCAATCTAAATTCTATTTCTATTCTATCTATTTTTTTATTTATTAAAAAACTTGACCCTCTAACACTTGCACTCTCTATTCTATTTATATTCTATCTGCTTGTTTTCTTTTTATTTATTAAAAAACGTGTCCTTCTAACACAAGCACTCTCTATTCTATTTCTATTGTATCTATTTTTCTTTTTATTTATTAAAAAACATGACCCACTAACACTAGTACTCTCTGTTCTATTTCTATACTATCTACTTTTCTTTTTATTTATTAAAAAACACAACCCTCTAACACTAGCATTTTCTATTCTTTTTCTATTCTATCTACTTGTTTTCTTTTTATTTATTAAAAACCTTGACCCTCTAACACTAGCACTCTCTATTGTATTTCTATTCTGTCTACTTTTCTTTTTATTTATTAAAATAAAATCTTGACCCTCTTTAACACTAAATCTCTATTTTTATTTCTATTCTATCTACTTGTTTTCTATTTATGTATTAAAAACAACCCTCTAACACTTGCACTCAATTCTATTTCTATTCTATCTACTTGTTTTCTTTTTTATTGATTAAAAAACTTGACCCTCAAACACTAGCAATCTATATTCTGTTTCTGTTCTATTTTTTATTTATTAAAAAACTTGACCCTCTAACACTAGCACTCTCTATTCTGTTTCTATTCTATCTACTTTTCTTTTATTTATTAAAAAACTTATATTTCTATTCTATATACTTGTTTTCTATTTATGTATTTTTTTTTAAATGATCCTCTAACACTAGCATTTTGTTTTCCTTTTCTGTTCTATCTACTTGTTTTCTTTTTGTTTATTATAAAGATATAATTATAAATATATTGTTTATTATAAAGATATAATAACTTCTAATACTAGCTCTGTCTTCTATTGTGTGTACTCTTCGTTATTTTTATTTATTATAAAAAAAAATCCTATGTGTACTGCATTAGACTAATTGAGACTTGTCACAGCATTTGTATATTGTTGCTTTTTTGTTGTTTCGATTGTTTATATTGTCTTCATCTGTAAGTCACTTTGGATAAAAGCATGTAAAATATGCTAAATGTAAAATATTTTTAGACACAAAGGGATAGTTCACCCAAAAATGAAAATTCTGTCATCATTTACTCACTCTCAAGTTTTTACAAACCTAATATTTAGAAGAATGTGGGTAACCAACCATTTCTGGTTTTACTAACATAGTAGTTCATCATACTGTGGAAGTCAGTGGGGACCAACAACTTTGGTTTGGTTTGGTTAGAAAGTCATACATGTTGGGAGTAACTTGAGGGTGAGTAAAAGATGACAGAATTTTCATTTTTGGGTGAGTCAAACCTTCAGAGTTAAAATTTTCTTGATCAATGATCCACATCAGCACTATCGATCACTGCCGTGTCTCATATCTTCTTTAAGCCCCTCTACCAGCACCAATATCCCCCTGATGCGTGTGGTCCAATCCGTCAAACACACCAAGAGGAGGAGCTCCACTGTGGTCAAAGAAGGATGGATGGTGCACTACACCAGTCGAGACAATCTTGTGAGATTTTATTTCATATTCACATGTTTGTTTATTTATTTTCGCGGTTTATGCATTTTGATAAGAAAGCATCTGCTAAGGGCATAACTGTATTACAATGATGTAGAATTACTCACTACAACTGCTACTTTCATGATAGTATATGGTAACTTTTCCATTAAAAAGCTTTTTTTTTTTTTGTGGTGTAGTGTGACAAAATGCTTCATTGCCGTTTTTATGTCACATTATTGCTGATTCATTTTAGTGAATTGGTTTGTTTGGACAGTTTATGTCACAAACTGGTTTAAAATACAGTTTCCCAGAGCTCTCTTTGTGTCATTTTAAGTCCTTTTTGTTGTTGCAAAATAAATATGTAGTTGAATACTGATGTTTAGCGCTATTGTTTCAATGCAGTTACTCTTAAGACAGATAAATAATGGCTATGATTTATTAAATTATATAATCCGATGTAACGTTTTTGTGAAATTTTGTGAATATAATAAGTAGCCTAAACCTTACACTAAGACTTCTTATACATCTTGATGGCATCATAATTAATTTGCATTAAATGCCCTTTATATCACTGTGTGTTTTCTCATAACTTTCCTGAGTTTTGAAATTAGTCAAACCTGTTTTGCCCTCAGAGAAAGAGACACTACTGGAGACTGGACAGCAAGAGTCTGACTCTGTTTCAGAATGACTCAGGAGCCAAATATTACAAAGTAGGTATTATAAGTATTCTACTTCTATTTTCTGTTATAAGTATTCTACTTATATTTACTAAAACAATTGTTGAGGTTCATGTTTAAGTGATATTCTCTGTTGATGAAAAAAAAAACAGGTTCTATTTAAGTGATTTCTTGATTCAACAGGTCTGGCAGTAATCAGGCCTGCGTGTGGCTAGTGAAATTTAACTCAGCTTTCTAAAATAATGTGGTTAATCACAGTTCTTTCATGATTTAAGAGGAGGGGCAATTAATTTTTCACGTAGGGCCAGGTAGGTTTGGACAGCTTTTTTCCCTTAATAAATGAAATTATCATTTAAAAACTGCATTTTGTATTTACTTGCATTATCTTTGCGTAATATTAAAATTGGTTTGATGATCTGAATCTTTTAAGTGTGACAAATATGCAAAAAAAAAAAAAAAAACAGGAAGGGGGCAAAAACCTTTTCACAGCACTGTATGTATATGTATATGTATATGTATATATACTGTTGTGCTCAAAAATTATTCATACCCTTGGTAAATATGATCAAAAAAGGCTGAGAGAATAAATCTGCAGCGTTAATCCTTTTTTTCTTTTATTTTAAAAATGTACAAAAACCTAACCTTTCATTGGAGAAAAAGAATTTAAAATGGGGCGGAAATCTCATTATGAAATGTTTTTTTTCTGATACACGTTGGTCACAATTAATCATACCCTTTTATTCAATACTTTTTGCAACCTCTATTTGCCAAGATAACAGCTCTGAGGTTTCTCCTATAATGCCTGAAGAGTTTAGAGAACATCTGACAAGAGAACAAAGACCATTCCTTCATCCAGAATCTCTCCAGATCCTTCAGATTCCCAGCTCCATGTTGATGCTGCTTTTCTTCAGGTCATCCTATTCATTTTCTTTTGGGTTCAGCTCAGAGGACTGGGACAGCCATGGCAGAAACTTGGTTTTGTTCTCAGTTACCCATTTTTGTTTTGATTTGTTTGTGGATCATTGTCCTGTTGGAAGATCCAACCATGGCCCATTATAAGATTTCTAGCATGGACAGTCAGTTATTAATTTTTTATCAGTCGGTATTTGATAGATCTATTTGATGATCTATCTGAACAAGATATGCAGACTTTGGCCACTCAAATTATCCTCCTCGCCTTGCTTTAAGACAAAATACACCCACGTCCTCTTCCATGCAAATTTGTAACATATTCTGTTGATTGGAAATTCTTAATTATTGCCCTGATGGTGAAAATGGGAATTTTCAATGCTTTAGCTCTTTTCTTACAGCCATATTCTAATTTGTGAAGTTTGACAATCTTTTGCTGCACATCAGAAATATATTCTTTGATTTTACTGATTGTGATCAATGATTAAGGGAAACTGGCCTTTGTGTTCCCTCATATTTATATTCCTGTGAAACGGGAAGTCAAGGCTGGATAATTTCATGTTCCTAGTCACCCTGGTGTGCTAAAAAATGGAAATATGCTTTAGAGGTATTTTACTCATAAGAATTAGGTACCAATAATTGTGGCCATTGTTATTTGAGAAAAATAATTATTTCACAATGACATTTCCCCCCACTTTCACTTGTTTTACAATTTAAGGTTAGATTTTCTTTTCTTTTTAAATTTTTGAATGAAAGATCAAATGGATTAACAATGCAGACATATTTTACAGCCTTCTTTGATCTTTACCAAGGGTATGAATAATTTTGAGCACACACGTGTGCTCAGAGTATGTTTATGTACATTTACATTTTATGTTTTAATATAAGTGTACAGCTTAAAATATGTGCACAACCATTTAAAAGTTACATTTTTAAGCGATTAATACATGTATACACACAATAAGTAACAAGTACATTGTATCAAAAGATTCATTGAAATGCTTGTACATAGTAGTTTAGACACTTAATATAGAGTATGTCCAAACTTTTTGTGACACTGAGGACTGGAGTAAGGATGCTGAAAATTCATCTTTGCATCTAAGGAATAAATTAGATTTGTAAAATATTTTCAAATAGAAAACAGTTCTTTTAAATTGTAATAATATTTTACAATATTACTGTTTTTACTGTATTTTTGATTAAATGTACACAGCCTTGGTCGGCAGTAGAGACTTGGTGGGCACTAGAGAAAAAAAAATCATACCGACCTCAAACTTTTGAATGGTAGTGTATGTATTTTGGCTCCCATTGGAAAATGAGCCATGGTTATATCTTCAGTAACGTTCACACATCTGGTAATGTGAAGGTCATATTGCCATAATGCTCATTTTGTTTTGTTTTTTTAAGAACTTGTGTGTTTCTGTGAATGTTTCTGTAGCAGCTCCAGTGTTCCCAGCTGTAAAACTGAAGTCAGGAAACCTCACCACCCTGGGTGAGACTTCAGGGTGTGTTTAAGACTGTTTTACACACCATTTTATTATCAGCTCGGCGCTCAGCTTGGATCTTAAATTCTAAAACAGATACTACTTCTTTGAAATTTTGACAAGAATCTATATTTCAGATAAGCTTATTTGGCTTTGTTAGATTCACTATTACTAAAGCACTACATAATTCTAAAGAATGACAGTTTGTTACTAAAAAAACATCTCAATTTCTGTCCTTCGCTTTATTGTAAAGTTCTCAATTTTTCTCAATCAAATCAATTGTGAGGTAGTCAATAAGAAAAACACATTTCTCAGCACAATGAGTAAAGTATATGATTCCCAAAGCAACCAATGCTTTATACTTAAAGTATAGTGTAAGACATGATCGTGCATTTGATTTTCATCTATAACTTCACAGAACCAGTCAGATTTGCACATTTAAAAATCATAGTGTTCTCTTTTGAAGATAGAAGCCCTGTACTTTTGGTTTTTGGGTAAGGGGGTTCCAGGCCTTTCTCAGGATAACCACAGCCCACCCCCTTAAGTGTGACCACCTCCTACATAATGTATCGGTGGCTAGCGTAAGACTTGCCTACACACTCATACACGTATGCACACGAGTGCTGCCCTGTAATCATGGAGCTCTTCATAGGGTTGGGTCACATGATTCACCCACCAAACCACAAGCACTTCATCTCATATTCAGAGGAGACCGCAGGCACAGCATTTGCGCTGATTGGCCACAGCTACTGTTTTTCCTGTCTCATCTGAGAGCAAGTTCGGGGGCTGGGCAGAAGGTGGACTCTTAAGAGACTGTCATAATCAGACTTGGCACATTAGGCTTTGCATCGTCAGTGAAGATTGAAGCTTAACCCTAGACTGCAAGCTCGGGCTGCATTCGCAGACAGTGCTATTTTTGATATGTGTGATAAGGAACATTTGAGAGTATCTCTTTGAACCTGGAGGAACCACATGGACTTGGAAAGCGACTGCCCTTTACTTCTCATCAGTGAGATCCTGGTCACTTTGACACCATAGAGTTGATGAACTCCGTGAGTTGAATTTTCAGCTGGACTGGACGTTTTAATTCAACACCACGTGGATTAATTTAATGACTCATTTCCAGACCCAAAGAGCAAATGCGGGGTTGTTTAATTGGTTAAACGATCTTATCTAGCTGTCACTGAGTCAGCGTCTAAATTTCTGACTCATTGTTTGACCCACAGGAGATTCCCCTGTCAGAGATCTTGCAGGTGGAGGTTGCGCATGACTTCAGTAGTTTAGCCCTGGGTGGCAATCCGCACTGCTTCGAGGTCATCACCGCCACCATGGTGTACTACGTAGGGGAGAACACCGGCGGCCCCCACCTCCACATCCACAACCCTGCGCTGGCTGCCGGTGGCGTGGGGCTGGAGGTGGCCCAGGGCTGGGAGAGGGCCATCCGCCAGGCCCTAATGCCCGTTCCTGTAACACCTCAGCCCAGCGTGGGCGCTGCTGCGGGACAGAGTAAAGATCACAGTGAGTAGCAAAGTCAGAACTCTGTATTTCTTATTTATTGTCTTTTAAAAACATGTGAAGTGAATCTTCATTTTTATCCATGAAGCATAAAAGGAGATATTTAACAGAATGTACATACTGCTGTTTTACATACAATTGGTAAATTATACCAAAAAAAAAAAAAACAGTAGTCCATATGATTAGTGTAAAAATTTTACTTTGAAACTGTTTTCACTCAGGAATTGCTAGTAAATTTCAGAAATAATTACAAAGAAACAGCAAGTAACACACTGAATTAAACATGAAATTTTGAAGTAGTGAACTAGTATTTTCTTGTTCAAACTTAGTTTTATTTACAATTTTGAAAATATTTGTTTACAGTGATTGTTTCAAGCCATATGAAAAGACCAGGGGTCTCATTTATAAACGTTGCGTACGCACAAAATGGCATAAAAATATGCGTAAGCAGTTTTCCACGCACATATCCGGATTTATAAAAAATATACTTGGCGTAAATATGTACGCACTGTACTAGACCATGCATACGAACTCTTTTGGAGTGAGAAAAGTAATGAAGTAAACGATTTTAAACTGTTTTCATTTCGATATGCATTTGCATTAAATATTCCACTCTCATTCATGGAGATAAGCACTGAAATTACAAAAAGTCATTACGCAGAAGTTAAACAAAAAATATATTAATTTAGGCTACGTCCACACGAAGCCAGAGCTTTCCCTATCCGATCTTTTTTTTCCCCTCGTCTCAAGAAATATTTGCGTCCACACGAAACAACGAAACCGACACAAAACGATGTAGTATACATGCCAGACCAGCATGTGGCGCTGTAATTCTGCCACAGAGATGCGCTAAAAACGGAGGAGAAGACTTAATAAACCTTGCGCGTGGTATACAAACGAACATGGAACAATACATTTATTAATCTGTGTTAATGTTAGTTAATAAAAAGACAATCGTGCAGTGTTTGTTCATGTTTTTGTTGCTGTTACGTGACGTAACGGTGTCTGACTAGGGGCGAGACGTGGGCTGATGACGTCATCGTTTCAGAAAATATACGGATTCGCTGTCATTCGCTGTCACATTTCATGTTTCAGAGTTTAAAAACTTTAATCTTTGTAATCTCCTCAGATGACAATGTAGATGCCTGACAAACGTTGTTGTTGTTGTTGTGATCATAGACTGTATGGATGTGAATACACGCAATACACGGAGCTTTTCCCTCACCATTGTTACGCGCTGCTTTTGCAAGTTTCCGTGAAAACGTTTCAGCTTTTATTTTCCTTTTTCGCCCTGAAGAAGATATCACAGGTTCATCAAGTTCGTCGAAATTATCCATCCTCGATCACTTTTAGTCAGCTTTGATGAAACTCCTCTCAGCTAACACGTCTTTTCAAAGTGAAAGTAGCCTTGTCACCTGACCTGAATACAGCGCGCTGATTCGCTAAAATGGACTTATCGGCTTCTGTTCAAAAACAACAAGGGCGCTTGTCGGCTTCTGCAGTAAAACGTGAACTCGCAATGCCTTGAAAGTGGACAATATATATACATATATATATATTTGTCTGCTTCATATTTTCCTACATACAGATTTGACATTTGAACATTACCCAGATGAAATGCCAAAGCTAATCTAACTGTGTGTGTATTGTTTTTGTGTGCGTGTGTATTGCAGAGGAACTGTCCATCAGCATTTCTGTATCTAACAGTCAAATCCAGGAAAATGTGGTGAGTGTCTGACTGTGTTTACCGAAAATATTTCACAACTACACGCTCTCTTTATTCACACTTCTGCATGTTCGGTCATGTCCACGGTCAAGCCACACCGCAAGAGTGAAGAACTGAGAGAGGAAATAAACAAAATTGGGCTTATTAATTTAACTATAGACAGAGAAATTGTATTTGGATTGAATGTATTGGTGAAATTATATTAGATTTTAATATTTATTTTTTGCTCCATCTTTAGGACATCAGCTCAATCTATCAGATCTTTGCTGATGAAGTGTTGGGTTCTGGACAGTTTGGCATCGTTTATGGAGGTACACTCTAAAAAAAATAATGCAGTGGCTTTGTGAATATACCAGTAATAAATAACTATACTACCTTAATAAAATCTCTGGATATCACTTAAGTTTACATTTGTTATTTTCATATATTTCACAAAAACAAACTGGTATTTGATGTGCAAATTATATTTTTAATATATACTTAATATTTTTTTTGTTAAATTTGAATCCAAATATTTGAGACTGTAGAAATTATACTGATCAGTTTCAAGAACTGCAATTATTACTTATTTCATAATTAATTTTCTTCATCTTTAACCACAGTTTAAGAAATTAAGTAAGCTGTACACAATGAACAATCGCACAAAGAGAGGGAAATCTGCTTTTCCCAGCATGCTTTGATATGGACTGTATAAGGAGAGTAAATGTTGAAATTAGGTGCTATTTTGTTTGTTTGTTTGTTTACATCACTCATAAATATTGATTTTAAAATTGGCTTACTCATGTATTTGAGTTACCTTAACTCATTGGGTCTATTAGTTTTGTCGTGGTACCAAATTTACTACTTTTATAAGGTGTATTTCATTAATTTCATAGCTTTAAATATTACTCAATATTTTTAATTGTAAAAATATTTAATTAAAAAAATTATAATAATACATCATAGTTTAAGTTTTAGGGTGGTTACAGTGGAAAATTTAGTTTTCTTTATTATATTATGGGAGAGCGGGGCACAAAGTAACACTTTGACTTTCTCAAATTGTGTAAATCCACATGGGGTTCAGAGTATAATTTTTTTTATCCACAGTAATTTCATACTTACAGTGTATACGTTTTTCTTTATTTACCCTCAAAAATTGGAAGTGAAATGTGACAACATGCCCCGTAGGTGAGGTACATTACATGTAACATGACCATATGACAGCTTAAAATGTTATCTGATCGCATGAAAAAAAACTATACAAGACAAACTAAAATATTTTGTCAATAAAATAAAATAATTATTTATTTCAAATAAAATAATGGCGTTTTTTAAGAATTGAAAAATAATCTGATTTTGTAGTTTGACAATGAACACATTGCAAACATGCTTTACATGTCTTGAAATAATCATTTCTTAACATTAAACATTGACTGTCACTATTTATTCACCTGTTTCTCATCATTTATCATTACATTTTATTAAAGTAAATAGTGTGAATTACATCGTTAATGTCATAGAATAGCAAGGCAGGGCACATTGTGATGCAGTGTTACAACATACCCCATCTGCGCAACTGGAATTTAAAACCGGTTACTGTC